AAAATCCCCATTTTTTCCCAAAAACCCCAAAAATCCCCGGATTTTTCCCCAGAATTCCAGGAATTTTCCCAAATTCCCATTTCCCCCCAAAACCCCCAAATTCCCAATTTTTCACTAAAAAAAATCCCAAAAAATTCACTTTAAAATCCCATTTTTTCCCCAGAAAATCCTCATTTTTTCTCCTAAAATCCCCATTTTTTCCCCAAAACCACCAAAAATTCTGGGATTTTTCCCCAGAATTCCAGGATTTCCCCCAAATTCCCAAAAACCCCCAAAATTCCCAATTTTTCACTAAAAAAATCCCCAAAAATCCACTTTAAAATCCCATTTTTTCCCAGAAAATCCTCATTTTTTGCCGTAAAACCTTCATTTTTTCACCAAAATTCCCCATTTTTTTTTCCCCAAATCCCCATTTTTTTTCCTCAAACCCCCAGAATTCCAGGATTTTTCCCAAATTCCCGTTTTTTTCCCCCCAGGAGAAGCAGGACAAGGTGTTCCTGCAGGCCGAGGTGGCCAACCTGCGGCAGAACAATCGGCGCCTGCAGGCGGAGTCGAGCTCGGCCGCGCGGCAGCTCCGCAGATTCGCCAGGATCTTCTCCGGGGCCACCGAGAGCCACCAGCCATGACTGGGATGGACTGGGATGGACTGGGAATGGACTGGGACAAACTGGGAGGGACTGGGGGAAAAAATCCCCCTGGAATTGTGACGTTCCCATCGGGATCGGCTGCGGAGATTGGCCAGGAGAACCAGGAACCCTGAGTGGGATGGACTGGGATTGGACTGGGATGGACTGGGATTGGACTGGGAGAGACTGGGATGGACTGGGACAAACTGGGAATGGACTGGGATGGACTGGGGGAAAAAATCCCCCTGGAATTGTGACGTTCCCGTCGGGATCGGCTCCGCAGATTCGCCAGGAGAACCAGGAACCCTGAGTGGGATGGACTGGGAGAGACTGGGATGGGACTGGGACAGACTGGGATGGACTGGGATGGGACTGGGATAAACTGGGATGGGACTGGGAATGTACTGGGATACACTGGGAGGGACTGGGGGAAAAAATCCCCCTGGAATTGTGACGTTCCCGTCGGGATCGGCTGCAGAGATTGGCCAGGAGAACCAGGAACCCTGAGTGGGATGGACTGGGATTGGACTGGGAGAGACTGGGATGGACTGGGATTGGACTGGGATAAACTGGGAATGGACTGGGAATGGACTGGGACAAACTGGGAGACACTGGGAGGGACTGGGGGAAAAAATCCCCCTGGAATTGTGACGTTCCCATCGGGATCGGCTCCGCAGATTCGCCAGGATCTTCTCCGGGGCCACCGAGAGCCACCAGCCATGACTGGGATGGACTGGGATGGACTGGGAATGGACTGGGATGGACTGGGAATGGACTGGGACAAACTGGGATTGGACTGGGAATGGACTGGGAGGGACTGGGGGGAAAAAATCCCCCTGGAATTGTGACGTTCCCGTCGGGATCGGCTGCAGAGATTGGCCAGGAGAACCAGGAACCCTGAGTGGGATGGGACTGGGATTGGACTGGGATGGACTGGGATTGGACTGGGATGGACTGGGAATGGACTGGGATGGACTGGGGGACACTGGGAGAGACTGGGGGAAAAAATCCCCCTGGAATTGTGACGTTCCCGTCGGGATCGGCTGCGCAAATTCGCCAGGAGAACCAGGAACCCTGAGTGGGACGGACTGGGATGGACTGGGAGGGACTGGGACAGACTGGGATGGACTGGGATAAACTGGGAGAGACTGGGATTGAACTGGGATTGGACTGGGACAGACTGGGATGGGACTGGGGGAAAAAATCCCCCTGGAATTGTGACGTTCCCGTCGGGATCGGCTCCGCAGATTTGCCAGGATCTTCTCTGGGGCCACCGAGAGCCACCAGCCATGACTGGGATGGACTGGGATGGACTGGGAGAGACTGGGACAGACTGGGATGAACTGGGATTGAACTGGGATAAACTGGGATTAAACTGGGATTGAACTGGGATGGACTGGGATTGGACTGGGACAGATTTACTGGGACTAGACTGGGACTAGACTGGGATTGGACTGGGATAAACTGGGATTTACTGGGAATGGACTGGGACTGACTGGGACTGAACTGGGATTTATTGGGATCCAAAATCTCCAAATCCAGAAGATTCCAGAAGGAGCCAGGGCCGAGATTCTCCTGAGGATTCCAGAACCTTCCAAGAGATTCCAGAACCTTCCAAAGGAATTCCAGAACCTTCCAAGAAATTCCAGAACATTCCAAGAAATTCCAGAACATTCCAAGAGATTCCAGAACATTCCAAAGGAATTCCAGGATTTTTTTCCAGGGAATTCCAGAACAATTCCAGGATTTTTTTTTTCCTGAGGGATTCCAGAACATTCCATGGAATTCCAGAACATTCCCAGAATTTTATTTAATTTTTTTTTTTTTCCCCAGGCGCTTCCAAAGGATTCCAGGAACTTCCAGAAAATTCCAGGAATTCCAAATTTTTCTTTTTTTTTCGTTTTTTTTTT